CCTCCCCCACACCCCCCTCCCTCCCTCCGATTGGTGTTGCGTCGGAGTAAATTGGTTCAAAGGCTAATATTTTATCACTTCATTCAGTCTGATTTTGACAATACCAACTTGTTGCAATTCGCACGACTATTCTTTTTTCTGCTCCTGTTTGTCCTTTTCTTTTCCATTTATTCTCTTCTCATTTTCCGTCATTTTGGTCTTTTCATCACTTTTCTTGCGTCTTGGTGCTTTATCATCTCGATAAGAGAAGTGAATCTGCTCTAGTATGAAATATGTTGAGACCCCCTGTCCAACCTAATTAAGTTTGGAGAGCGTCAACCCTTTTGAAGGGATAAATAATTCACTACCTTTACACCTCCTGTTCTGCTTCACCTGATTTTCTCACTTGGTTTCAGCGCCTAGACGGCCTGACGATTGGCATTGACATTTTCGGATATCAAAAACGGCTCTCTTTGATTTCCTCAAACCCGATCTAACCAATGCTCCCTTTAGCTCTACCTAATCTTATGCCAAAATCTCCCATTGCATGATATTTATTGAAAGTATTAGTCTTTCATCTTCAATTCATTGGTCTAACCGTTGTAAATCACAAAATCTTTGTTCAGAGCATAATGAAAAAGAAAATGTTTAAATCCGATTCCATCAGAAATTTTGCTGACAGTAGATTATACGATGATTAACGGTGGTGATAAGCAATTAATCTTACTTTGCCTTTCATTTCCTTGAGAATAGTTCTTTGTCTATTGATTTAGTAATGCAGCCAATCAAATGGGGGTAAGATTTTTAGGCATTTAGCAACCGGCCTTTCGTTGATGCTTGTGTATTGCTTCTTGTCAAATTTGCGCATAATTTTTTCCTCATTTCGGGTGAAGGCGCAGCAGCACAACGTCTACTTCCCCTCATCCATCGATTCCAAATTGACTCCCTCATCACCACTGCCGAGCGCACAATGACCTTCAGCATGACTGACTCCATGGCACCGAAGATGCTCGCTTTGGCTGATATGTACCAACTGAATCACCTCAAACAGGCAGCCATTGATGCTTGCACGCGTCTCGACATGAAACGGATGGCTGAGGCCATGGAGGAAACGCCCCTTTCACCAGAACTGAAGTCTATTGTGTTTGCGTAAGCTTGAGTACTGTTCATTTTCTAGGTCAGATTAAATAGAAAATGCTTAATTTCTCAGATATAGGAAGCTCAATAGTTAGACAGAGCTAATGATCTAGGAGGAATATGTGAGTAAGGCGAGCCTTTTAGTGGAGAGTAGGAGAGAGGCGGAGTGAATTGGAAACCAAGTAAGTGGACGCAAGGGATGTGCTAGTCAGTGTTTGAATACCGGTGGGTGGAAATTGAAGCTTGTGAGCTGAAGATGAGAACCAGAACTTAGTAGGTGGGAGATGAGGGTATTGAAACCTAGAGAGTTGGTAAGGTTAGTTGGAATATTTTATAAATCCGTGGGGGGTGGGGGGGGGGAGGGGGTCGGAGGCAATGGGAATTTAAGTGTGTCTATTTTGACAAGGAAAGTTGATGCCAGTCAATGGTTTTAACTCTAGTTCTCACGGATTTTAGCAGACATTGCACTATAATGATATGGAATTTGGCCAAACCATGGTCATTTGTAAAATGGGCGGATGTCAGGTGATTTTTAGTCTTTTTAACTATCGTGAAAAAAAACGGTTAGTATGTAAATTCAAATTAGGGTATAATGTGCAGACTCCTCAAGGATCAATAAGAGAGGTGGGGTGGATGGGTGGGCGAGGCGGGGGGGGGGGTATTTAGGTGATCCCACTTTTGCCAGATTGTAAGATAATGCCTTTCTTGAGGTGAAATTCATAATGACCTTAGAATTAGAATGAAATTAATCATTACAAAAGATATTTGTGAAGCTATATCAAACCCTACTACTTAACGTTGAATCAAGAGCAATTTTTCGCCCTCTTCTTTAAAGAAAAAAACCTATAATTTATTTCACCAGACTGGGGGAGGGGGGGGGGATTATGTTTGTCGATGGGTGTAATTAACAAATAAAGAACGTTCCAGAATATTTGATGACTTGAAATAGAGTGCTCAAAAGATGTAGGTAATTTTATTTACTTCCGCAGCTCACTTTCTAATTCCCCACCGTATCCACCGCGCATCTCATGTGCTTCTCGGGATTGTGTCTCCATTCGGAACTCGCAAAAAACTTCTTTTCTCTACTGAGCATATGCCTCCTTGTTCAGTGTTTCATTTCAGACACTAACTTTGAAAACTGAAATAACTACCCTTTAGGCAAACAGATTTCTAAATGTTTAGGTTTATGCCAATAATCAGACTCTCTGCTTTAATTAATTCTATTTAATTATATATTTATATCAAATGCCAGGCGTTTTGATAGTTATCATTAGCCATTTAGTTGACTTCAGGCTTCGCAGAGGGGAAGAGGAACATCAAAGTGAGAAGAAGTCGAGAGGGGAGTGGTAGGGAACAGAAGAGTGATTCACAGATGTAGAAGAGACAGAGAGACACAAAGGTATAAAAAAGTTGAGGTGAGTACTGTGGAAGTGGTGAAATATGGCATACAGTGGGGTGATGGTAGTTTGAAGTCAGAAGTCAACTGCCGGTTTATAGACTTTTTGCCGTGTTAGGGTTAGATCAACTGCCGGTTTATAGACTTTTTTGCCGTATGCGCATACACAATGACATACAGTGGGGTGATGGTAGTTTGAAGTGAGAAGTTGTGACATATAGTGGGGTGAGGGTAGTTTGAAGTCAGAAGTCCACTGCCGGTTTATAGACTTTTTGCCGTATGAGTATACTTTGTAACATACAGTGGGGTCATGGTAGTTTGAAGTCAGAAGTCAAGGCATACAGTGGGGTCATGGTAGTTTGAAGTCAGTGGTCAACTATACAGTGGGGTGATGGTAGTTTGAAGTGAGAAGTCAACTACCAGTCAATAGACTTTTTTCCGCATAAGTATACGTTGCCCAGGGTGCACCACATGGAGGTTGTAAGTACACGTTGCCCAGGGTGCACCACGTGGAGGTATGCCGTTTGAGTATACGTTGCCCATTGGTTTATAGACTTGTTTGCCGTATGAGTATACGTTGCCCGTCAATGGGGTGATGGTAGTTTGAAGTGAGAAGTCAACTGCCACAGTGGGGTGATGGTAGTTTGAAGTCAGAAGTCAACTGTCGTATGTGTATAGGTTGCCTAGGGTGCACCACGTGGAGGTAAGTCTATCGCACACCCCCTTCATTTATTCTTAACTTCATGAAATCCTCCATTCATACTTGATGTTAGCGAACTGCTTCCTCGCCTTCCACCTTCATCTTATTTCATGTTGTTTTATGCTGGCCTTGCTAACCTCATTTCAATAAAAGTATTTGGGGAGGCGGGAGAGGCCGGAGTGGGGGGGGGGGGGTTTAAGATCTCACAATTGGGCGATTTACCAACTTCTCACAAGGTCTACTGTGTGCGCTCACTTCCCTTAACAGTGATCATATTGAGATCTGGAGTGTTTTTGGTCTCTACGATACCTTTGTTGAATGATTCAGGTTGAGATTAGCTGCATTGTGTGAAATATTGCATTTTCAATCAGTTTTTTTTCAGTCGTTGACTCACTTGAGAGAGAGAGAGCAACTAGTCATTGTGTGTGCGTCAAATCGATTTGACAAATTTGAGTACTCTTTCTCTCAAGCAGTGTGTGTGTGTTTTTGTATGTGTGTGTGTGTAATGCCATAAAAACACTACCAATTTTGACACTGCTGTGCCTTTGGCAATGTGAGCTGATGAACACTCACAGAGCGCCACTTTCGCCTACTTGGAGTTATATCCATCTAATGTCAACTTGCGGTGGCTCCATTTTAATCTCAAATCGTCTTTTATTCGGAGTTGGGGGAATTCGATGATTCAGGTTATCCTGAGTAATATACGAATTTGTTTGTATTGGAGGAGTCAGTGCTTAAGACACACCCCCGCGGTGGCACTTTTTGTCAGTTTGACGCATTTAGCTTGAAAAAACTTACAAAATGCGCAGGCGTTTACTAGATTAAAGGAGGGGGGGGGTGGAGGTGGTATTGGAGAGGGAAATTAATAAAAAAGCGGTTATCTTTCCTCTAACCCCGGAGGAGGAGGAGGAGGAGGAGGAGATATTTTGAAGAAGAAATGGAGAAGGGGGGGGGATGGAGGTGGGTCTTTCGTTGCAGCTACTTCCACTAAACCACTTTCGTCATCTCCGCCTCTTGTTCATTTCTAGACATGAGGTCAAGCCCCTATTTTTTTAATCTCAATTTTACGTGATGTTTTGTCTTGAGACTGTTGAATGTATTACCATTCCAACTGTGTTTGTTAAGGTAACGTCTCGCGGAGTGTCGCTCAGTGGCGACAATTTTCTGTTGCCTGAATGACTTCTTCTGGTGCAAAGAGAAAGCCACCAATGAGATTCTGATGGTTGCTGGCTCAATTATCCGATTTTTAATACAATGCCACTCTTCGAAGCTGATTATATTAATTTGTGAAATGCGCTAGTAATCCTTTTAAAAGTAACTCTATTTGGCAACGTGAATTGCTTGTTCATTTGCTAGGCGGTGCTGCTGATATTGGGTTGATGGTGGCACAATTTCAGGCATGTTTAATTTCTACGGTTGTCGAATATTCCTAACCAAGTATGTGCCTGAAGTCTGGGGCCTCACTCCTCTGCAGAACACTACTTTACTGAAATATTCTTTTTTCCACTGTCAAATTCAATGATGCGAAGTAAAAGTATTTCTGAATGCGTATTCGAGGACTTGGAAGGACTTTTTCAAAGCCCTTCCCCCTTCCTCCTCCGCCCCACCCGCATTTCGATACAATTCGTTCCTTTCGATTAGCTACTTTGAAAACAAAATTAAAATTGTAAAGTGATTTTTAGCTTTTTTTATTAAACTTGGTGCTGCAAAATTTTACATGTGAATCACACATTTGAATCATACTTCTGCACCTTGAAAAATCACCTTTGTTCAGGTAATGAAAGTGTGTGAGAGATTAGAGCAATGTATGCATGCGCATATTTCAACAATCGCAAATTTATTCACAATTATGTTGCTTTATATTAAACCAAAAAGACAAATGACCTTTGTTTCAACTATTATCAACGAGTTTTTGTTTTGATAAAAAGCGCATATAGTTGTTAACGTTTTTTTGACCGTTGGGCATGCTCTCGAAAAAATTTATGTGAGCAAACTGTCTATCCCATTCAGTGTGCCAAGGAGTGTGTGTGGAAGGGTGTGTAATTCTGTCCAAATTAGTGTAGTTATTCGATTGCCATATTAGGGGGCCTCACGTGAGATTTTAATCGTTATTTCGTATTAATTTTGCGAGTGGGATATACTTTCATTTTATGCGACTTTCCATGTGCTTGGGTGTTTTATTGAATAGTACTTTCAGATGGATGATCTTGTGATCTGTTCCAGCTTGTGGGAGTAAGAGTTGTCTACTTAAATGCTGTTCGCATCTTCTCCTCTTAGCAAAGGAGGCGTTCTTGATACTCATATCTCTTGATAGCAACGATTGCTTCAGAATATTTTATTAATCCCTGAAGTCCGTTTTTCATGTGAAGTCATCAGTAGTCAGAACCTAGGGACCGAGTTAAAGACCACCATTTCTTTGATGGTAACATACGAAATGAAGACTTATTAACGGTAATCATTCAATGAATCCTCTTTCCATTCTTGTAGGAATCGAGTGGTGCTTCTGGAGAAGGTGCTCTCAGATATTGAGCGCAGTTTCAGTCAGTCCTGCATGAGAATGGAAAGCAAGTTGGAAAGAGTTTTCACAAATCACTGCCAAATTCATTCAAAACCACTTTCAGCTACCACAGTTCCAGTCACCGTCCAACTAACTGGTTCGTTAACCGATACTCCCGAGCGTCTTAATATTCGACCAGTTGACACTCATACTACTGAACCATCAGCATTAGCAGGCAATAGACCCCCGACTCGAGGTCTTCATTCGAATGCTAGTGATATTGATGCGCCTATGGAAGAAGAGCAGAGCGCTTCAGTACTCAGAACTTCGGGAAGACCTGCTAACTCGACAGTCGTGGAAGTTCCTGCTGTATGTTCGAATTGTGTGGAGCGAATTTCGACACACATCAAAGACCTCTGTCGCAGAGCCCTGCATAAAGCTCAATTTGTGCCTTACAGACCACCAAACACCGCGGTGACAACCATCTCATCCAATACACCAAATTCATGAAGATACTGCATAGATATGCTCTCTCTATCTCTCATGCTTGTGAATGACCTGTGATAACTTTGTCATCAAAACTTCACTTCTTACTGCCTGACCTTGATTGCCCAATATGTCTTGCTTTTTCATTCGTCAATTTGTTCCTTTTCTTACTTTACTTATAGTGGAGGTCTCGACTACTTATTCTGCGATTCAGAGAAGATGGACGTCGGCGTTTCAGATCCTCAATCATCTCTGCCCGAAAGAGGGAGTCTCGCCTTAGCGTATTTTCGTTGTTGAACTCGCATTCCACCGCCAATTTATATGCCAGACTTAATCATCTCGGTTGGAAAGAGAGGGAGAAAGTGAGAGAGCACCCGATGTTCATTGATTGGCACCGAGGTGCCGACTTACTAGTTTTCTAGCGAGATCTTTACTCAACGCGCTCCACCGTCTTAGCACTAAAATGAGAGAGCTGAAGGGTGGATATTGACTCTCATTGATTTTTCTTTTCAAAATGATCAGAGCAGGTATTGCAGTTGATCTAATGTGGGGGATTACGTAAAAGAGAAAATTATGAAAATCAGAACGCAATGCGATACTAATTTAACCGTATTATTACAACAAAAATTATGCCTTCTTTCAAGGTTTTTCGAGTAGAATACTTTCTACCACAAAACAACTCCAAGATTTCTTAGTACTTTCTAGTTCTTCGATGGGTATTGACCTAATTAAGGCACTCCTATTGTTTAAATTAATTCATTTAGGTATGATCTGAATTGTAAACAATAATTATCTGCCATTGATATTTAGCATGTTCGCTAAGAGGACATTTTTATTGACTGACAGCCTCTGTTGCCATTGGAAACGCAAGTTTATTGTTTGAACAGTTTAAATCTCCCCCCCCCCCGTTGGCAGTACCGAAGCTCCTCTTGTCTAATTCCATTTGGTAAGTTTTGAAGTGGATGTCGGAAGAAAATAATGATAAAAAACTTTTCACTGAAACTGCAGCCATCAAATTGTTGAAATCTTAACAAATGTGGATTGTAAAGAAGAAGAAGAAGACTATATTTTATGAATAATTATTAAAATAATGTTTAATAACATGGATGGTGGGATATTTTGGAAACGTCTTCATAAAAATCAAATTTCTTTTGTCTAAAATAATTGCGCAACACTTGGATGGCTCTTAATGGGATAATATTTCAAATTGGGGTGTGCAATAGACTTACCTCCCCGTGGAGCACCTTGGGCAACGGCAAAACAAATCAATAAACCGGCAGTTTACTCCAAACCTCTATAACGCCACTATGTGTCATATTCGATCACTTTCACAGTACCCATCTTACCTTAACTCTGCCTTTGTGTCTGTCTGTCTCTTTTACATCTTTGAATCACTTTTCTGTCCCCCCTCTCCATTTTCTCTCACTTTGATGCTCCTCCTCTCTGTGAAGCCCGAATTCAGCTAAAGGGCTAATAATACGTATCAAAAGCCGGCCATTTGAAATAAATAAATATTTCACTATTTAATGACAGTTAAGCAGGTTTCGGAATTCATAGTTTCAAATGAATAAAAATGAAAAAAGTCTATTAGCCGGCAGTTGATTTCTCACTCCAAACTACCATGAACCCATTCTATGTCATATTCCACCACTTTCACAGTACTCGCCTTACCCTACTCTCGACCTTTGTGTCTGTCACTTTTACATCCTTGAAACACTCTTCGACATTTTTTTCACTTTGATGTTCCTTCCCCCCTGTGAAGCCTGAAGTCAACTAAACGGTTAACGATAATTATCAAAACGCCTGCTTTTTGACATAAATAGAATTCGGAAAATATTGAGTTTAGT